GTAGTGGTTAAGAGCGGCAGATTCCTAATTTGAAGAAACAGGTTTGGACCACTGTGTGGCACAGAGTGATGGATTGGATGGGCCATTGGCCTGATCCAGCATGGCTTCTCTTATGTTCTTATGTCTGATACTCTACTCTTCCACATGAAGCCTGATGGGCAACCTTGGGCCAGTCACAGTTCTCTCCGAACTCTCTCAGCCCCACCTACCTCATGAGGTGCCTGTTTTGAGGAGAAGAAGGGAAGGCCGTTGTAAGCCACTTTGAGACTCCTTAGGGGAGAGAAAAGAGGGATATAAAAACCAACTCTTCTTCAGTTTGGTGTAGGGGTTAATTAAAAGGTAAAGGTTCCCTTGCTCGAAAGCCATTCGAATCCGACTCTAGGTTTGCGGTGCTCATCTCTGTTTCAAAGCCGAAGAGCCAGCGCTGTCCGAAGACATTTCCATGGTCATGTGGCCAGCATGGCTAAACACCAAGGCGCACGGAATGCTGTTACCTTCCCACCGAAGTGGTACCTATTTATCTACTTGCAATTTCTTGCTTTCGAACTGCTAGGTTGGCAGGACTCTAATTGCGCGGACTCTAATCTGGGATAACTGGTTTCATTCCCCACTCCTCCATTTGCAGCTGCTGGATGACCTTGGGAAAGCCATAGTTCTGCCAGAGCTGTCCTTGAAAGGGCAGTTCTTGAAAGAGCTCTCTCAGCCCCACCTACCTCACAGGGTGTCTGCTGTGGGGAGGGGAAAGGAGTTTGTAAGCCACTCTTAGACTCTTGAGTGAAGGGTGGGGTATAACTCCAGTCTCTTCTCTCCTCTCTCTTCTCTTCATCTGCCTTTCATACACACCTATACATCCTCTATCATGTCACTTTGCATGCAGCTTTCTATGGCATAGGTGGATTTCGTGTTTTCTATCATTTATGCAGACACGCTTCCAATAACACGTTCTTTTAGTGAACAACTTCTGCACTTTTGATTTTGTTTCTTGTCTGAAAAATAAAGGTGGAGCACTTTAAAAAAAAAAGAAGCAGCGCTACGTACAGATAAGTTGCATGTGTTTATGATTTAGAAGAGAACATATTGTAATGCATATTCATAAAATGGCAAACTTACTGTGCCGGGATCTGACACTCTGAATTCTCTGGTGGGTTAAAAGAGAACACGTTTTAATCCGTGTCTAAAATAAATGCAGCATATGCTGCAGGAGCGAGCGGAAAGCACAAGAGCAGCAACCTGCCACCAGGAACCAGTTCCGCTAATTGAAGGGCGGATGTTCACGAGACGCAGTCGTGGCACCAAGGAGACATGTGCTTCCAAACAGGATCGCCTCTGTTTCTGGAGGGAGCCGTTTAGCCGCTGCGCATCAGCTGGCGAATAAACGGCCCCACTCTGTCGAGCTGCAGGGCTGCACCCCCTCGAGCCACTATCGACATTTCCTCTCGTTGGACCTCTCTCATTCATCTTCCCAGCATATGCTGACAGCGTGGGGGCTCATGTCTAGCCGGAAGGGTGCTGGCAAGTAGCCTCAGCTGGAGCTGGAGCTGATGCCTTTTCCTGAAACCAAATCAAGCAGCTGGGCACAGGCGTAAGCAGGCACCTGGCATCCGGTGCCATCCCCCCGGGGACTCAAATATGTCATCTCCGTAATACAATTGTCTCGGCTTGCAAAAGAGGCAAGGGAGACAAATCACGGGTAGCTGAGCCTTTTCTTTCCATAGAAATCAGGATGGTCAATAGATCGGGGGATCCATCCTAACCCTTCTGGCCAAAGACACCATCGCATTCATGCCGTTGAGCTAATTTGGAGTGTCATGCCAGTCTTCTCTGTGCATGCGGCATGTTAAGAGTATCCGTGATAGAGGTTTATAAGGGGGGCGTGATAGCGGTTTATAACATTATGCATGGGGTGGAGAGAGCTGAGAAAGAGAATTTTTTTCCCTTTCCCAAAATAGAATAAGAATCACAGAGTCGGAAGGGGCCACACAGGCCATCTAGTCCATCCCCCAGCTCAATGCAGGACCAGCCGAGAGCATCCCTGACAAGTGTTTGTCCAGCTGCTGCTTGAAGACTGCCAGGGAGGGGAGCTCTCCACCTGCCTAGGCAGCTGATTCCTCTGCTGCACAACTCTCACTGTCAAAAAGCTTTTCCTAATATCCAGCCGGTAGCTTCCCGCCCTTAATTTAAACCCATGATTGTGAGTCCTACCCTCTGCTGCCAACAGGAACAGCTCCCTGCCCACCTCTGAGTGACAGCCCTTCAAATACTTAGAGAGCAGTCGTGTCCTGTCCTGAACTGAACTGAAGGACATCCAATGAAGCTGATGGGCAGTAGATTCAGGACAGACAAAAGGAAATACTTCTTTACACAGGCAGTGATTAAAATGTGGAATTGGCCGCCAGAGGATGTAATGAGGGCCATAAACAGCTTTAAAGGGGGATTAGATCGAATCAGGGAGGACATGTCTGTCAATGGCTATCAATAGCTACTAGGTCTATCAATGGCTACTAGCCATGGTGACCGAGGGAAACCTCCACATTCAGAGGCACTAATATTCTGAATTCCAGTGCCAGGAGGCAACATCGGGGAAAGGTCTTGGCCTCTCTACCCTGTTGCTGGCCCTCCAGCGGAATTGGTTGGCCACTGCGTGAGACAGGATTCCGGACGAGATGGACCATTGGTTTGATCCAGCAGGTCTCTTCTTTTATTATTGTTGTTATTTATTAGATTTATTGATCTCCCCATCCTGGCTTGTGCTGGGCTCTGGGCGATGTACAGGACACAATGCCATAGAGTACAGAACACTAAAATCCATATATAACAATAAAAATTTCAGTGTAGGTAAAAGAATCCAGATGGTGATTTTCCTATAATATTATTTCACATCATTCTGGACTGCTAGCCCCTTTTTCTGGGTAGGAGGGAAGAAAACTCAGAACATAGAGGGGGGAAGAAAGAAGGAAGGGTGCCAGCTGATGGGTAACTGTTGCTGCCCTCAACCAAAAGCCTGGCAGGACATCTCTGCCTTACAGGCCCCACAAAATTGCATTAGAAGAAGAAGAAGAAGAGATTGGATTTATACACATAGGAAACACCCTTCACTACCCAAAGGTGTCTCAGAGCGGCTTACAAACTCATTTCCCTTCCCCTCCCCACAACAGACACCCTGTGAGGTGGGTGGGGCTGAGAGAGCTCTTGACAGAAACTTCTCTTTTTCAAGGACAGCTCATATCAGAACTATGGCTTGCCCAAGGCCGTCCAGCCAGGTGCAAGTGGAGGAGGGGGGAATCAAACCCCGCTCTCCCAGATTAGAGTCCGCACGCTTAACCACTACACCAAACTGGCTCTCACAGGGCCCTGGTGTCATTTGGCAGAGAGTTCCGCCAGGTCGGGGCCAGGACTGAAAAGGCCCTGACCCTGGTTGAGGACAGCCGGACATCCCTGGGACCGGGGGTCACCAGCAAGTTGTAATTCAAAGAGTGTTAAACTCTCCTATTAGAGAAGACGGTCCCGTAGATACACTGATCCAAGAATGTTCTTAGGTCTATACGCTGCTCCCACACATTTTATGTAGGTCCAATGGTGGTGTGGAAACTGTTCACATGGTCTAGAAGAAATGTGGCCCAATGGGTAGTGTGGAAACTGTTCGCGTGATTTAGAAGAAATGTGGCCCATAAGTATGTCTAGATTTGAGGATTTGCTTCTCTATGGAGGGAGAGCACTTTGGAATATCACTATGACCTAGATAAGGCTCATCATGTGAGTCTTCCCCACTCAGATAGCAATCTGTGAAAGAACATAAGAGACGCCAATGTTGGATCAGGCCAAAGACCCATCCAGTCCAACACTCTGTATCACACAGTGGCCAGAAATACCAGTGCCATCAGGAGGTCCATCAGTGGGGCAAGGACATTAGAAGCCCTCCCACTGTTGACCCCCCCCCAAGCACCAAGATGACAGAGCATCCCTTGCCCCAGTCCCTATCTATACCTTGTGGCTAATAGCCACTGATGGACCTCTGCTCCATAAGCTTATCTAATTCCCTTTTGAAGCTTTCCGTGCTTGTAGCCGCCGCCACCTCCTGTGGCAGTGAATTCCAAGTGTTAATCACTCTTTGGGTGAAGAAGTACTTCCTCTTATCCGTTCTAACCCGACTGCTGAGCAATTTCATGGAGTGCCCACGAGTTCTTGTATTGTGAGAAAGGGAGAAAAGTACCTCTTTCTCAACCTGCTCTTTCCCATGCATAATCTTATAAACCTCAATCATGTCTCCCCTCAGTCGTCATTTCTCCAAGCTAAAGAGCCCTAAGCGCATTGACCTTTCCTCATAGGGAAAGTGTTCCAACCCTTTTATCATTCGGCAATTGCAACAAAGAGGTGTGCTTCACATAGGAAACACCCATATGATCCGCAGCTCACACGCTTGGGATGTTCACATGCATTCCACGGTTACTTGGGATCACCAATGGCTTGGAGAAGATGTGATGCCGTAGAGGTCGGTGTTCAGTTCCTTGTGGCAAGTGTACTATGTGCCCGTCCTTAAAGCATTGTGAAATGGTCATATCTCACCCTGGGGAAAAGGGAACCCACCCCTTAAATTGGCTGCTTTCACGGGGATTGAAACCCTGACCAGGTGAAGCAGCAAAATCTAAAAGAGAACAAATGGAAGTTTGGTGTTTGTGGCTAGGAGTGCGGACTCTAATCTGGGAGAGCCGGGTTTGATTCCCCACAACTCCACATGCAGTTGCTGGGTGACCTTGGGCAAGCCACCGTTCTTTCAGAGCTGTTCTCTCAAGGGCAGTTTCCAGTCAGAGCTCTCTCAGCCCCACCTACCTCACAGGGTATCTGTTGTGGGGAGGGGAAGGGGAAGGAGATTGTAAGCCACTCTGAGACTCCTTTGGGTAGTGAAGGGCAGGGTATAAATCCAATCTCCTCCTCCTCCTTCCATATCTGAGGTTCTGACATTTCTTTCCCCTATTTTTCCCCCTCTTTCCTCCATCTTCTAGAAAACGTGCTACTCACAGTGCTGGCAAAAGGAAGGGCAGCCAGAAAGACCTGAGACCTCCAGATCTTTGGATACACCACGAAGAGATGGAAATGAAGAATATCGAAAAACCCTCTGGTTCTGATCCCTCAGGAAGAGACTCACCGATACAGAGCTGTCAAGAACTCACTCCGGGCAGCCACACCCAATCTGAAACCCAGATGGGCAGCAAGAGTGCCTCACAGCCTGGTAATGTTGCCAATGTCCTGTTTGCAAAGGGTTATTTCACCCATACACATACTTCACTCGCATGCTTGGCCCTCACCCTCACTTGCTTTTCCCTTGGTGAATGTGTGGGAGAGGCCACGGCTCAGTGGTACAGAACCTGCTTTGTATTCAGACGGTCATGGATTCGGTCCATGACATCTCCACTTTAAAAGAATCAGGTGGTAGGGGATATGAAAGACCACTGCCTGAGACCCTGGAGAGCCACTGCCCATTGTATACGTAAGTACCATCAAATCGTACCTGACTTATGGTGATCCCAGCAAGGGGCTTTCGAGGCATGTGAGAAGCAGAGTTGGTTTGCTGTTGCCTTTCTCCATGGAGTCTTCCTTGGTGGTCTCCCATCCAAGGACCGACCCTGCTTCTGAGATCTGATGAGACTGGGCTATACCAGGCCACCGTCCCCTCCAAGCACTGACAATGACAATAAAGCAATACAGACCTTGATAAAGTAATAGTCTGATTCCAAATTAAGGTAGCATCGCAATTTGAGGTGTACAGCATTTTCTAGTTTGGTGTAGTGCCAGTTTGGTGTAGTGGTTAAGTGTGCGGACTCTAATCTGGGAGAACCGGGTTTGATTCCCCACTCCTCCACTTGCACCTGCTGATGTGACCTTGGGTCAGTCACAAGCTCTGGCACAGCTGTCCTTGAAAAAGAGCAGTCTCTGTCAAGAGCTCTCTCAGCCCCACTCACCTCACAGGGTGTCTGTTGTGGGGAGGGGAAGGGAAAGGAGTTTGTAAGCCGCTCTGAGACTCCAAGTGAAGGGCGGGGTATAAATCCAATCTCTTCTTCTTCTTCTTCTTCTTCTTCTTCTTCTTCTTCTTCTTCTTCTTCTTCTTCTTCTTCTTCTTCTTCTTCTTCTTCTTCTTCTTCTTCTTCTTCTTCTTCTTGTCTTTGCACTGACCTTCAGAGGGCAATTAGATCCATTTGACGGGGAGCTGGTGGTGTCCATCTACAGAGGGCACGGGGAGTAGTTTTGACTGGACTCCAGAGCTGACATTTCCAATGTCCCCAAATGCGAAATCCAAAGTGAATTTTGAGGTGACTCTTCAGGTGAAACAACTTCCAAGGGAACACTTCCAAGGGAAGTGAAAAGAGTTTGAATAAGATGAACAGGATTTCTAAAAGAGAGGGGAGCAAGACTGAAATGCTTAAGGGAAGGGGGGGGGGAAGAGGCTGTTTACGGCAGCATCCCCATGGCAACTGTAATGGGCACTCTAGCTTTGATGTGTTCCATGGGGGTGGCCATTTTAATGGAATGTGGAGAATGGCAGGCAAACAGCTGCCGACCACCAGTGCGTTCAGTCCTTTGGAAATCGGCTGGCCTCTGAGAAACAGGTGCGAAGCTTTAGAAAATGTTATTGTCCAAGAAGGAATTAATACTGCCGCTAATGTTTGCTTCGCCATTTGTTTCAGATTGCATATTTTAATCTCTATATGTCCTTGAGCATTCCTTGGCAGAAGGACAACAATTTCCAGAATAAGTAGCAAAACAGCAGGGAGAGGCTGTAAGCAAGGGCAATTCTATTTATACTGTTACTTCTAAGGATGTCGCCGACATTCATAGATGCCAGGTGTGAATTGCAATGCTTACCTCTGATGAAGAAGAAGAGAAGAGAAGAAGAGATTGGATTTATACCCCGCCCTTCACTATCCAAAGGTGTCTCAGAGCGGCTTACAATCCTCCTTCCCTTCCCCTCCCCACAACAGACACCCTGTGAGGTAGGTGGGGCTGAGAGAGCTCTTGACAGAAGCTGCTCTTTTTCAAGAACAGCTCTTATCAGAACTACGGCTTGCCCAAGGTCATCCAGCCAGGTGCAAGTGGAGGAGTGGGGAATCAAACACGGTTCTCCCAGATTAGAGTCAGCGCACTTAAGCACTACACCAAACTGGAAAACGTTACAGCTCTGAGCATTCCTCAGCTTGGACTGTAATTCTGCAGTGAAGCGATACCTCTCTTTCTCTCCCTTCCCTGGTCCTTGAATGGCTATGGCAGGCATCAGGGATCATGGGAAATGTCACTTTCCTAGGGTGCCTGAGCCCGAACCTGGTGTCAGAGTCCCACAGCAATCAGTTCCCAACAACTTTCATTCAAAAGAGGAGAGTTTATTGAGTACATTCATTCAAAAGAGGAGAGTTTATTGAGTACAGTAAAGGCAGGTCACCTGTGCATATATTCTGTGTTAGAACTGATTGCAAGCATGGTTATATATAATTCAAAGGGGTCCCCCGATGGACCTGGGCCAATCAGGGAACACGCAAAAGCCTGCCTAACCTAACGGGTCTATGTTCTCAGGCAAAGCAGCAACAAGGTACCAAGGTCATTGGCCGAAGCTATAAGAGAAGACGAGTCAGGAAGAAACGAAACTTAAGATGCCACTACAGAAACATATCAGCCCTCACCCACCCCCCTCCACCAGCCATGGCAGCTGCTTAGCTGACACCTGGATGTCCCAGGCTAGCCTGATCTCATCAGATCTCAGAAGCCAAGCAGGGTCAACCTGGTTTAGTACTAGGATGGGAGACTGCCAAGGAAGTCCAGAGTCACTACGCAGAGGCAGGCCTTGGCGAGCCACTTTTGCTTGTTTCTTGCCTTGGAAACCCAACGGGGCTGCCATAAGTCGGCCATTACTTGACGGTACTTCCCACCTTCAAGGTTCCCCAACATGGTGCCGATGGGTGTTGTGGGTGGCACTCACTGATACCTTTTCTGGCACCTGTACTTTTTAAAAGTGGGCATAACTTAAAAGTGGGCGTAACAAGGTATAGATAGGAACTCTGGGGCAAGTGATGCTCTGTAGTCTTGGTGCTTGGAAGGGGAAAACAGTGGGAGGGCTTCTAGTGTCCTGGCCCCACTGCTGGACCTCCTGATGGCACCTGGTGTTTTTGGCCACTGTGTGACAGAGTGTTGGACTGGATGGGCCATTGGCCTGGTCCAACACTGGCTTCTCGTATGTTCTTAACTAGGTAGGTCCTTTTTCCCAACAAGGCTTTTGATTGGCTATGTCGATTAAAATGACAAAAGTGCAGATGCGTTGCACTTTAAATGAAGTCTCCTTTGTGAATATTCTGCTGGAAATCCAGCTCACGGTTGTTTTTGCAGTTTTGTTATCCTGCGCCAATTAAAGAGCATCCTGCTAAACAGAGCTTCTGCGTGAATCGTAGAAGAGGTACTGTTAAGAGTTCTACATAACCTCACTCCTGGACATTTTGTGGTTGACTCCACCTCCCACGGCAGATATTTTGTGATTGCGCCCACTGCCCTGTGTCAGAATTCCAGTGGTCCCCATAGGTTCAAAAATGTTCCAGACCCTTTCCTTAGACTTTACAAATTTTTCGTCTTTTTCCACCAGCACTGGCAAAAAGCAGATACTAACTTAACACGAAGGGGTGGGTGGGATATGCTTGTGAAATTCAGAGGCTGTAAAAAACATTTTCTGCTCTTAACACGTGTAAGAAGACTCTGGTTAGCAGAACTACCATTAACAAAACCGATGACTGGTAGCTTCAGATCTTGCCTTCAATTATTCTCATTAGCATTTAATGGGATTCATATTACACACAGCACAATCTCAACTCAGTCTGGTTCCCCGTATGTAGAGCTGAATTTTTCTCTTAACTGTCTCTCCCTGTTCGGCATCACTCTGCCAAACATTGCAGCCCCTTGACAAGAGGTTGATTTGGTGGCTCACATTAAACAACCTCACCCTATTAACTCAAATGCAGTATTTAAATTCACAGTCATTAAACAGACATTGAGACTTATTTTTGTCCCCCAAATGCTCGACTTTTAAACTCTCAAGGTTCATTCGTATATGAAATGGCCACGACTTAATGGGTCATTATATCCTGCCTTTTAAACATTGTGGCCAGTCGCAGAGAAGGCGGAATACTGATTTGAGCGCATAGACGGTGTGGGAGAATTGGACCACTCCCACAATGGGATTCTGCTTGAACTTGCAGGGAGGGTGGTAACAAGCAACGTGTGGGGAGGCAATTGTCATTTTTGCAAAGCGTCTTTTGTTGCAGCCGAGAAGCAAAATGACCATAAAGCCTCGGTGCAATTGCAGAGAAAGAAATTAGCATCCTGAGAAAATGAGACGCCATTTCTTGCACTCCAAAGTGATCCTTAAAATGCTCTGTGGTGGTGTCAGGAGGTGAAAACCTTCCAAGTGACTCCTTATTCTTTTCCCCCCAGTGGAAGATTGCACACAGCTTGCCTGTTTGACTATGCTTTGGGCTTGTCGGAGAACAAGTAGAATGAATCTGGCAAGGAAGGACACCCCCACCCCCCAATTCATTGAAACTTTTGTGTTATTTTCTTCCAGCTCCAGATACAGAAGAGGTGGGAAGCAGCATGTCCACGTTGGAGCGCTCTCTTGCTGCCCGCAGAGCGACCCGTGCCAAGCTCATGATCCCAATGGACTCGCAGCCCAGCAATACTTGTAAGCTGTGCCTCTCACAGGCCAAATCCCACTATTTTTCTGCCACAGGGATGTTACCGTGCCACAGGTGAAAAGGTGGCCAATTGGCATAATAGGGGGATATGCCCCCCCCCGGAGAGTTCATGGCTTCCGATGGCTGCTGGTTATTGTGTGCAGATTAGGGAGGTGACTGGATTTCATGAGCTCGCTAGCTCAGTTGAAAAACCCTTGTCCAATTTTGCTTCTCTCTTGGGATCAGCAAACGTTTTCTCTTTCCTCGCAGGCATGTTTTTCCTGTTAAAACGAATGTATTTTCAACATTTTGTGTGTGTCTGTTGCACAAAAATGGCATAAAATGGTGCGGGTGCCATCAAGTTGCTTACAATTCATAGAGCACACGAGGTCACATCCTTCCCCGCCCAGCCATGAAGTTTGCTTGGTAAATTTTGTGACAAGGTACACGGTCTGCATTTTAAGCACTTAATTCAGAACCAAAGCAGGTTTGGGGCGGTCCATCCCAGGATAGAAATTTTTTTGAGTTTTTGGACTTCGTTTCTATGAGAACTTTCGCAGTAGAACCATTCGATAACCCGTGTTATGTCCAATCAAGTTGCTTCCAACTTATAGTGACCCTATGAATTAATGACCCACAAGGTGTCCAGAGGAGGGCAATGAAGATGGTGAGGGGTCTGGAGACCAAGTCCTATGAGGAAAGGCTGAAGGAGCTGGGTATGGTTAGCCTGGAGAGAAGACGACTGAGAGGTGATATGACAACCATCTTCAAGTCCTTGAAGGGCTGTCATATAGAGGATGGTACAGACCAGCAGGGGTCGTTTCGTAGAAAAAGAGCTAGGGGAACTCATTAGCATAACTCATTAGCATATGCCACACCCCCTGACATCACCGGAAGTGTGTCATAAGGCCACACCCCCTGACATCACTGGATGCGTGTCATAAGGCCACACACACCACCACCAACGCTCCCGGCCGCCGCCGCCGGCCTTGCAGCTCCACTGCCGAGCCCCATGAGGGGCCCGGCGGTAGACCTGCAATGCCAGCGGGAGTACAAGGAAGCCCCGCGAAGGCCCTCCCTGGCCCCAGGCAGGCAGGGGTGGGGAGAGGCAGGGAGGAAGCAACTTACCCTCCCTCTTCTCCTGCCTCCTCCTGGCTGAATGAGGGCCGGAAGCAGGGGGCGGGGCTTCGTCATGTGCCCCGCCCCCCGTACCTCACCCAGGGGAACTGCGATCCCCCACGATCCCCCCGAAATGACCTCTGCAGTCCAGAACCAATGGGTTAAAATTGACTCAAAGGAGTTTTCAGTTAAACATTAGGAAGAACTTCCTGACAGAGTGGTTCCTCAGTGGAACAGGCTTCCTCGGGAGGTGGTGGGCTCTCATGGCTTCCTTGATTGAGTCAATCCATCTCATTTTGGGTCACGTTCCTTGCCTACTAATGTTGACTTCTCCTAGCATTCTTATCTTTTCTAGTGCGGCTTGTCTTCCCATGATGCAACCAAAGTCTGACAGCCTCAGTTTAGTCATAAAGTTGTATGGTACGTGTACATGGCAGGTGTCTACAATTAGAGTTTTAAAATGTGCAAAAGAAATAGAACTTTATTTTTGTTGAAGTACTTATACCCTGCTTTTCTCCTCAGTGGAAAACCCACTCCCTTCTGCCATTTTATCCTCACACAACAACCTTGTGAGGTAGGTTGGGCCATGAGTGGGTGAGTGACCGTGGGGTCACTCGTGGAAGAGGGAGAATTTAAATCGGGGTCTCACAGATTCTCATCTGACAGTCTAACCTCTACACCATGCTGGCTAAGGAATGATAGGAATGAATAAGAAGAAGAGTAGGTTTTTTACCCCACTGTCCTCTACTTTAAGGAGTCTCAAGATGGCTTACAATCACCTTCCCCTTCCTCTCCCCACAAAAGGCACCTTGTGAGGTACACCGGGCTGAGAGAGCTCTGAGAGACCAGTGACTGGCCTAAGGTCACCCAGCAGGCCTCGTGTGGAAGAAGAGTGGGGAATCAAACTGCTGACGACTGTTGCTGCCCACTGGCAGCAGGGAAAGGTCAGCTCTGAAAGCCACCCCCAACTCTGCACCCCAGCCCTGCCTCTCTCCTGGGGCGGGTGCTAACATTCAGCAGGGAGCCTTGGAAAATCAGGAGAGGGTGTCACTCCGTATGCCCCACGCTAGCCACTGCCCTGATTTAAAGATGAGTGCCACTTGTATAGGCACCTACTTGCTGTGTCAGGCTTCTGGTCATATGCGTAAGAACCAGGCTTCCCAAGTACTTACCATGATCTGGCGGGGGACACAGACATCTTTGCAGGATCATTCCCGGGGGGGCAACAGACGCGCCACACCGTGCCGTCGCCAGGAAGTGACACCGGGCAACTCTCTGGCAATGGGGCTGGAAACTCGATGGTACCATCGAGTTTCAGCCCCATTGCCAGAGTTTCGCCCAGCATCACTTCCTGGCGACGGCATGGTGCGTTACAGGGAGGAATGTTCCGGCCGGGGAGCATGTGTCCCCCGCCAGATCACAGTAAGTACTTGGGAACCCTAGTAAGAAAAAATCTTGCAGAAGCACCTCAAAGGCTCAGTTCTTTCTCCTCACGAGAAAGCTGACCCTCTGGTTATCGAAGTGTATTCCCGTCTTTAGTTGCAGTAGCAAAGAAACAAAAGCAGCTGTTCTTAGAATCCCCTGGCCTTTGGAAAGGCAGGGAACTTGGAAATGTTGCATCCAAGTGAGAACCCACGACTTGGACGCCGTCATCTTGGCAAGATTTCATCATTAAGAAATGGTAGACAATCTAAGGATAATTACCACAGTCTTCTCCTTGAAGCTTAATGTAGTGCTATCAATCTTACCCTTCAACGTGATTCCTGAAAATTATCTTCCCGGTTGAAGAACTCTTTGCAAAAACTGCTCTCTTCATTTTGCTTCCTTAAGAGCCTTAGCACAGATGGTCAGAGCAAAGCACCTTTGCCTTATTTGCGTGGTACTTGTGCCTTAGGTAAATGCTGTTACTCCCGGATAGAACACCGAAATCAGGTATGCATAAGCAAAGTGGTGGTCCGACTTCGTATTGTAGACGTGTCTGAATGAAAACTCAATTTGAGACCGATTCCCCACAAGCAGCTGCGCCACCCTTGCTCTTCCCTTTCCCCCCAATTGTATTTGTCAGTTTCCCACTACTTGCTGCGCAGCTGCATTTTGACCCACAGCATCCCCCAATTTCCCCCGCATCTTCTTGATCCTTGTTTTTTTGAGACTGAGAAGACCTGGGAAAAATCTGGGGATGCTGCGGGTCAAAATGTGGCCGAGCAGCAAGTGGTGGGAAATTGACGAATACAATCGAGGGAAAGGGAAGAGCGAGGGCGGCTCAGCTGCTTGTGGGAAATCGGTCTGAGTGTTGGGTATGAAAACAACACCCTGACCGGAATAACCCAGGTTAGCCTAACCTTGTCAGATCTTGGCTGTTAAGCGTGGTCAGTCCTGGTTAGGGCTTGGATGGGAGACCACCAAGGAATTCCAGGGTCATGACTCAGGGGAAGGCAATGGCAAGCTACCTCTGAAGGTCTCTTGCCTTGAAAACCCTATAGGGTTGCTATAAGTCTCTCGTGTCTTGAGAGAGAGAGAAAACTGAAACAAGATAAGGCATTCAGATTGGTTTACAATGGATGGGAGCTGGGGAACCTGCTCTTCTACACCTTCAGAAGCCATTCTCCAATGGAGGAAATCTTTCTCCGTCAAAGGAAATCTTGACAGAAGACCATCACTGGATGCACGGTAATTGTAATAACAGCTCCCCAGCTTATGTGGTAGAGTATCTGTTTTGCATGCAGAGAGTCCCAGGTTTGATTTCTGGCTGTCGTGACGTGTCTCGTCCCCAGACCGAAGAGGAGATTCTGCCGTGTCTGCGTTAAACCCTTGGGGGAAGCCAAAGCCTCAGACGCGGAGTGAGGAGAGAGTTACGTCACTCTCTAGCCAACACTCCTCGGGGTTGACAGCTTATCCAGTTGCTCGGTCTCTCTGTTCCTGAGCTCGTCACCACCGACATCCTCCCCAGCTTTCACGGCTCCCCCCCTTTTATATCCCTCTCTCTCCCTGGGCGAGGGTTCCCCTCTCTTCTCCGGGCTGCTGATAGGATAGACCTCCCACCACGTCTTCTCGTCCCACCCCCCTGGTTGCATTGCATATGTGTCTCCAAGGGCGGAGGCCGCTTCCGGGGAATCCCGGGACTCTGCGTATGAACGTTTGAGAGTATCGGCTCCTGTCACCTCGGGTAAGCGCCATCTCTCCCGCGCCTCCCATATCCACGTCCGTCCCTCTGTTCCCCACACGTCTTTGTAGCCTGCTCCTTCTCTTGAGCCCGTCTCTTGCAAGACATCTATTTTGGGGCTTTCGCTCTCCCGGGTGGAGTGTGGCTTTGGCGCAGGACGCGCCAGTCCCGCCGCGATGGCCCCAGGGGCCTCGGCAGAGCCCGCGGCGGGACACTGGCCTTTCCAGTTAAAAAAAAAAGGATCAGGTAGGAGGTGATGCAAAGGACCTCTAACCTGAGACCCTGGAACACCAACGCCAGTCAGAGTAGACCATACTGACCTTGATAGATCACTGCTCTAGCATGCATCACACTTTCATGTCCTGTTTAAGGAGCAGCTTGAGGAAGTGAGAGAAGTCTCAGTCAGATTCCCAGAGTTCTCGTAGAAAACAAGTCCAGGTTTTTTGGGGGGTTTTTGCAGCTGCTATCGTAACACTTATTTGAAGAAGAAGAGAACACGATAAGCTATTTTGGGAGAGCCAGTGTGGTGTAGTGATTAAGACTGCTGAAGACCCAGGTTCAAATCCCCCATACATGCCATGGAAGCTCACCGGGTGACCATGGGCCAGTCACATTCTCTCAGCCTATCCTACCTCACATGGTCATTGTGAGGCTAAAATGGAGGAGCGGAGAACGATGTAAGGTGCTTTGTGTCCCCATCAGGGACCAAGGCAGGGTGCAAATGAA